GGAGACTGTAGCCAAATGACGATAAAGAGAATAAAAGAGCTACAGTCACACACACACACACGCGCTCAGAAAGAAAGAGCTAAAGTAAAATAAAAAAATAAATAAAAGGCTAAAGTAAAATAAATAAAAAGCTACAGTAAAAAAATGTATAAAATAAATAACCTACAGTAAAATAAAAAAGTATAAATAAAAAGCTGAGGTTAAGTAATAAGTGTATAAAATAAAAAGCTGCAGTAAAATAAATACATAAAAAGGCAAAGAAAAAATATTAATAAAAGGGCAAAGTAAAATAATATAGATACTAAGAAAAAGCTGAAGTAAAATAATATATAAACTGGGACAAAAGATGAAGTAAAATTAAATATATTAACAAAAAGCTAAAGTAACACAAAATATTACTAGTAAATAAAAAACTAAAGTAAAATAATATATAAACTAAAATAAGATGAAGTAAAATGGAATAAATATATTAACTAATAAAAACTAAAGGAAAATGAACTGTATAAAATAAATAAGCTAAAGTAAAATAATATATAAACTAATGAAAAGCTAAAGTAAAATAACATCAAATCATAATCACAATGACTCACGTCACACAGCGCACCTTTGCTCACAACACACGTTTAAAGTAAAAGGAACATTCTACAAAATCTTGGGTTTTGCTCCTACGCAGACAGCGGCTTTGGGAAAAGTGATATTTTTGTTAGACCGACGGAATAGTTGGACGCACTGTTCTTCGCATGCTTTCAGGCACCAAGTCCCTTCTTCAGGCCACGGGAGAGCGCTGCTGACCTGTCATGTTGTGTTGCATTTCTGTATGTGTCTTGCTCAGTGAGGGCAGCCCCCCTCAAACCACGTGGTTTCCATAAGGGCCTGGCAGGGAGACATCCGTCCCCTTGTGCTTCCCTCATCCCTTCGGAGGGAAGGAGCCTGTGTCATGTCTGGGTGGGTTTCCATTTTCTGGAGGAGATCTGAGCCAGGGCGAACAGGTGGTTCCCGTTTCCCTTCCAGGTTCCCCAGAGTCGGTCACTCGCTCATTTTCAGAAGCCACCTCACATTTCATCTGCCCATGTCTCCTTCAGTGGGACACCACACGTCCTCGAATCAGGGCCAGTCCATATCACACGACACGCTCACCCCACCACTGCCACACAAGTAGCAAAAACAATTTTGCTCACACTTGAACAAATTGACGTGAAGTCAGCATTTATTCAAACTGCATGTGGCCTGGAGGATCAGACATCTGACTGCTTCCTGCCAGTGCCCAAACTTCCCCCAGGGGCATTTACACACACGGGCGGGCATGACACAGCATGAATGTGCACAAGCCAGCAGTGCCTGCATCCTTCCAGGCAGGGATCATTGTCTGCCCCCCCCCTCCAGTGGCTCTTGGTGCTGAACTCTTCTCTGGAGTGCACAGCTGGACAAATCAGAGGGAGCTGTATGCCCGAGGGCACACCTTGCTCCACAATTACAGTACTGCCAACCCAAAGCATTCACGGACCTCAGAGTCCACCTGAACGTAGCAGCCCATCTGGCTAGCATGCTGACCGCGCGTCCGTGCTGAACATGTCCCCTTGGACACATCCAGGCAAGGCTCAGCCTCCAAGTCCTGCCTCTGTACCAGTGGTTCTCAACCTTTTTTGACTCGCATCACCCCTCCAAAATTTCTCTCTAGTTAGTGCCACCCCTATTTCAAAAATTATATTTCCATAATTTTTTTTTTATTGTGGAAAAAAACTATAGAGCAATTCTTCTGTTGCAAGGAACTTGGAAAGACCTTGACAGGTCATAACATTGGGGACCTTACAGCTTCCTACCTGGAATCACTGGATTTAATCTTGTGAACTGCATAGGTGTTTGCACGCCAAACAGTACTAATACTGCATGGCACCCTGCCGCGCACACAAGGGTCTCATGACACCCCAGCGGAGAATCACTGCCTTAATCACACTGCCATCACTCCCCACTCTGCTCCTCTCTTGTTATTTGTAAGTCACTTTTTGGGGATTTATGATGATGATGATTATTATTATTATTATTTGCTTTCTGCTGTTTGAGCCTTTAGGGTGCCCATGGGTCACAAGATCAAGCTGACCTACACGACTTTCAGGTCTGTCTTTTTGCAGGGAGTTTTAAGCAAAAGCCAAGATTCTTCCCCAGTTGCATTATTTTGGGAGCTGGAGCTGTAACTATCACCAGAATGGCACTCTCTCATTTTATAGCAACACAAATTATCAAACCAATCTGTGCATTTTGCAATTAAATAATATACACAGTTCAGAGGAAAGAGGTGTTTCCTATTACTTCTGCCTGTTTGACATGACACTTGTCCCTCTTTTCAGCCCTCCAGCATATAGTTTGCATGTATTTTTTATATAAAGTTATTTAAATAAACCAGCAGCACAGATAAGTTATGGCTGGGCGATGGAAAGTCTGATTCACAAAAACTCTAGTAGAACCTGGATCATCATATATCCAAGTAGTTTGGATCTGCTTCATTCACACAGCAAGCTGCCAAATTAAGGATGAGCCATTCAGCTGCTTCAAAGGGCACTACTGCTCTGCTCTGCTGAAGTACCACTGCTGTCTGCAGTGGATAAACTGCCCTTTAAAATAAAAGCTGCAGCAACTCAGCTAAAGCATCTCAGCAGTTCCATACAGCTGTTTGCTGCAGCTATATATACCCCCTGGGTAATTTGTAAATCCATTCGTTTTTATAAGGGGCTTAGGACCTTATATGAAGAATCCAAGTTCTACTATTGTCAAATATACTTTCTATCTCCTGTTAGTTACAAAGGTTGCTGGATTTGCTATACCTTTACTTTATTTGAGTTCATAAAGCAATTTTGGATAGCCCTCCTCATGACTTAGTCAACCACTTTCCACCACCACCCATAACCCCCCCAATTACCAGTACAAACTTTACTTCTAAAAGGAGTCCTCGAATGGTAAGGCACACCATGTTTTAGCAACTTCTACAACATGTGTCTTCACCTTCCTCTAACGCAGGGGTGGGCAAAATGTGGCCCAGGAGTCAGATGTGGACCATCAGGCCATTCTATCTGGCCTGCAGGACCCCTAAAAATGTTAGAAAATTAATATTTATCTGCCCCTGGCTGCCTATCATGCAGCCCTCAATGGCTTGCCAAAACTCAGTAAGTGGCCCTCTGCCCAAAATAATTGCCTGCCCCGGCTCTAATGCTACCTCCTGCTGCTGCTATCAGGCATGTGCAGGTCTACCAGGTGTCAGGTAGGAAGTCCTGGGCCGGGTAGAGGATGGATATCATACTGGAACATAGCAGACACAACCCTCCCAAGTGCATCCCTTTGATCACTGGATACCACCACTACTAGCCTGCTTGTCACACAGTAGTCATCTTCAACTCATGCTTCTCCCAGTTCTGTGTTTTAAACCCACTTGGATCGGCTGAGACTTTTTGCACACTCTAAGGGTGCATATTTCCTATCTGGTATCCTTCCTTGGGATGGGGAGCCCCACAGCCTAGCTATCCAAAGTATGAAGACCAGTGCTCTAACTCTACTTGCATGGGCTCTCCAGTTTATAGTTCAATTGTTTGTGATCCATGTTACAGTTAACATAAGAAACATAGGGCTTGGCAGGAAGTCTGTTGCCGGCCTTGGTCATTTTCAAGGGGCCTAGGCCAAGTTGCAGAACTGTGGCTAAGTGGAAGGCCCCACAGCCTGTTTCTGAGTGACTGTAGAGTGAACCACTGCACATGTGACAATTTTGGTCAGCAAAGTAAAAGGAAGCCATCAACATCTCCAGCTACACCAGTAATGAGATTCAATTAAACAGAGCACAAAGCCTGAAAGGAGACATTATCAGGGAAGACCATACATTAAATCATTCAAATGTATACTATATCATAGCTTTATCTTAAAACGTTAGTAGTAGTGACTGATGTAACCAAGATGCTATTTTGCTAGAATAGGTATTTTTGTTAAGATGGTTAGATATGTTGCAAAAACAAAACAGTTTTGTCAGAGAAGACTGTAAACTAAGATAAAGAAGAAACAAGACAATCTTGAACATCATTCCAGAATGGCAAAGGAAAGGAGATAAGAAAAAAACCTTCCTTTTACTTTCTCAAAGACACAAATCCCAACTAACTGACACCTTCCTAGTCCACAAGAAGTCTGCTGCATTCCAACGTTTCAGTGAAACAGAGACATTTAAATAAAACCAACCAACTAACCAACATTTATTAGGATATTTAGAATAAGCCACCTATAAAATATAAGCTATAAACTGCAGGGAAATTTGGAGAACCTAGAAAATACAAGAAAATGCTGCCAACCTGGATACCACCCTCCTCCCCCTTGAGTCTGCCCAGCCAGTATAGGTATGTGTTGCCCATGCTGTTCTGTCACTGGTAGCCAGATGGGCTTTGGGATAATCGTTTGTTTTCGTGTTTAGGGGTATAAATAGTAAAAGGTCAGACTGTAGACCTGTTTCTTGCCTCATTTATCAATAGCCAACCTACAAGTTTCCAGGTGACACTTCTCAAACACATGCGTGTTTTATTCATAGGAAAATACAAGCTACTTACAGATCTGTGGAAAAAAATAACTACTACCTGCATGCAAATCTCCCTCCTCCAGAGTCTTCAAAATTCCCGAGTCGCTTCTGGCTTGTGTTCTCCACGGCCTCCCCCCTCTGTTTTCAGCTCAGGCTTCTGGCAGTGGCATCTCCATTTTACAAAAAATCTCCATTAAAAGGCAGTTTGGAATACTTTTTTTTCTCCTGTTGTATTTTCCTGTTCTCCATCCCCATTTTGTTACCGCAGTGTGAGTACCTGAGCATGGAGACTCATTTCTATACTGATCCTTGCCCAATAACTCCCTCTGTTCAGCCAGAATAGCGTTGTTCAGTTTTTATTTTGTATAGTCCTTGATAGTCACATTTCAATTTCTTGCACATTGTTTGATTTTGGCCACAAAATGGAAGAGACTGAATCCACCCTGAATCTTGTCATCAGAAACTGAGTCCATAACATCAAAAGTGAATCATACTTTTTCACACAGTAGGGCTGTGTGAAATTTCACCACCAGTTTTGTTTCAAAGCTGTTTTGACCCATTTCAAGGTCGAAACAGCAAAATCAAAATGGAACAGATATAGTCAAAACAGCCTTGAAACAAAAAGAGGCAAGTCAAAATGTTTCGCCATTTTGACGTTTCTCCCATAGGCTATAATGGAGAAGGTTGAAACAGCCTATAACTTTGTCATTTCTGGCCTGATTTAGATAAAACTTGCAGGAATCGTAGCCCCATTTGAGGGCATGAAGCCTGCCAAGTGTCAAGGAGTTAGGTGCAGGGGGTTCAGGGAAATTGCACCCCAAACTTTTGAAAGCAAAACTTGTGTCACATGTTAAGCCATAGCAAGGTCAAAACTGAAGACATGCTAGCCTCTGCTGAAGCCACAAAGCCTGCCAAGTTTCAAGGTGCAGGGGCTTGGGGGGAACTGTACCTCAAGCTGTGGACAAGCAAAACTCGTGACATGGGTGACACTGTGTGTGTTAAGGAGCAGCAGGGTGAAAGCTGCAGGCCTGCTAGCCCCTGCTGAGGCCATGAAGCCTGCCAGCTGTCAAAGAGATAGGTGCAGGGCTTCTGGGTTCTGGGGCCCTGCACCTCTGGCTGCTGACAGGCAAAACTCATGACATGGGTGCTTGTGCAACTGACTGTCTCTGGCTTGGGGCAGAAGCAGTTCCTGGTTCTGTATTGATTCTTTCCTCTCCTTAGTTTGTGTTTTCCTAGGTGTTAATCCTTGCTTATTAACTCATTATCCTAGCTAGCTACTGTGTTATACAATCAATCATGATTCACTCAGGGACCAGCTCAATACACAGTAGCTAGCTAGGATAATGAGTGCTCTCAGAAAGGGCTACCATTCCTACAAGTTTCATCCAAATCAAGCTAGAAATGACAAAGTTATAGGCTGTTTTGTCCTTCCCCATTATACCCTATAGGAGAAACGTTGAAAGTTTCGTTATTTTGACGGAACAGAATGGAACGGCTGTTTCAAATCGAAACAAAATTTGAAACAAAACGTTGTTCCGTCGAAACAGTGGTTGAAATGGAACGCTGCCGTTTTGCACAGCCCTATTACACAGACAGTCTCATACCTGTGCTGAGCTGAGGCTGCTGATAGTAAGGATCTGAATAATTAATCAAAGGTTCTGGGGCGAAAAAGTTGCTGGCATTGAGAATAGGGGATTCAACTATTCGGCAAAGTAGATGGGTAGCAGGAACAATGGCAGGCCTGCAGGGCAAGAGAACAAATTTGTATTACAGGAAGTGAGCCTGGTCACAGGTCCTTGCTAGATAGGAGACATCCCTCCTTGCTCCCAGAACCACAACCCTTTAGAGCCTGTCCCATGTACAGGGTGGCTAAGGCAAGCACCTGAGCACAAAGATTACCATCTCCACATCTGTACTTAACTTGTATGGTTTTTAGGCAAGTCTTACTTTCTGAGCCTCTTTATAAAACCAGGATAATAGCTGAATCCAAATTAATCAAGGTGTTGGTAAGCATTCAAAGGGCACTGAACGGAAATGGTATTCAGTATGCTCTCCATAGTATTTGGGCACACTGCTTTTGGTATACTCCCTGCTTAAAAAGGTGAAATCATACTCAGCCTTCTTTTCTAGAAATAAAGACTGAATTATCTATCTTTGTCCTTTTGAAGGAGCCATTTTATTTCATACAGAGAGAATATTAGCCCTTTCTTTCTTTTCTCTTACTTCTCTACCAGTAATGGAATCCAGATACTACTGTTAAGCTAGAGGTTTGAGGGTTTCTGAGGAATACATGTCCAATCAATGTACAGTCTGAAACTTTCCTGAAGCTGGTGGGCCTTCTGTTCAGGCTAAATGAGGGAGCAATTTAAATGATAGAAGCCACCGCACCAGTTATAAACCAGCAAGGCAAGACAGGAGTAGGAGTTAAGAGATGTGGTCTTAGGGGGTTTTCTTGGGGTTCTGAAAGTAAAACAGGGCCTGAACATTGTTCGATAGAGCTGTATGAGTCTGCAAATCAAAGGAAGCCAAAACCCAGGCAGAAAATGTAGCTGAAAGTCAGGAAGGAAAATGAGTAAGTATTGGTAATGTAGCCCTCAAAGAAAGTCAAGAAAACCTTTTGGGTAGAGTGCTGGCTGGAAAGAAACTTGGAATTGCAAGAAAAGGTTGCTTCTGTTGTTTGGGTAGAAAGTCCTTTATGTAAATAGACAGGATTGCATAGAGTAATACCTGACTATCATCGTTTTTTCCTTCTAACAAGCAGAAAGCAGAGCAGGGGGTCACCTTAGAGACTAACTTGTTCTGAAAGGCATAAAAGCTTTTGTAGGTGACAGCCTATTTCATCAGATGAATGGATTTGCAGAGAGCAGGGTTACTAAACAGAAATGTCTCTCCTTCTAAAAGAAACTACTCAAAGCCCCACTTTTTGACTGACTTGAGCTTTAGAGGGCACTCTAGTGATGTGTGTGTCAGAAATACATAGGACGGGCTATGGAGAGAACTTCGTTTTAATTAGGAAACACACATGCATGCGCGCACACACACACACGGAAACAAGGACAAGATCTATTCAACCAACCTCTAGCACATGCTTTTGCCAGCCACAACTTTGAGTGTTTATTTTGGACCCCTTTCCCTTACACCTTTAGCCCTTTCCAGATGGTATGCAAGCGCCTTGAGTCTTGGACCTTAGCTCCTTGCAGGTTTGTACAGGGGCCAGGATGCAGATGCAGAGCCTTAGTCCTTATTGGAGCCTTTGGACCTTACCACAATACACAACTATCATTTCATAGCAGCAACAGAAGATTCTGGGCTGACAATGGATTTTAAACATGCTAAACTGAAAACAAGAAAGTGGCTGAGTGTGATGTCATAACTAATGTTCTTCTGAACAACAATGGTAAAATTATTTTTAAAAATAGGCCCAGGGGAATCCCAAAGCATTTTAGAGAACATGTTTTATAAAAAACAAATCACTTCAGCAGCCAACCACGTCAGCTGAAAAAAAAAGTAGCACTGAACAACAATTCATCTTAGGAATTGAGTCTCTGTAGAGCTTGAGTATTCCTGGAATGTTTGCAGCAACAGTGTTTGGCAAAAGATAAAGTGGAGCAGAAATCATGCAGATATACCCTACTGTTAGCCTTTCATACTACACTCTACTACTTCCTCATTGCTGTTGAGGTACTTATTAAAAAGAAACCATAATTTTGAAGCATGTGTTTTGAACCACCACCTTCTTACAATATATGCAGTTCAGTAGTAGGATACATTCTTTTCTACTACTAGAGATGTAACCTCACAGCTTTAGGCAGTGTCAGTAGTAGACTGTTTTGGCAGGCATTCATTTATATTCTGCTCAGATACCTCTAGGGAAGCCTTTGGGTTATTGCACAGCTTACACTTCCAATGTTTGCTTGCAAGTGAATTCAGTTTATTAATATGTAGATTCCCTCTCCAACTACTTTTAATTAGCATCTCAGCCTCACAATATTTCTGGTGAAGTACTTTTTTTTTTAAACTGAATACACAAAGTTGTTATACTGATTTCCACATTACTGATCTGATTTTCCACTCATCTCCCTAACCGCCTCCCCCATTCCCCTTTTTACAGCCAGCTCAGTCCTTAAAGTCACTTATGGTACATAGGTGATGATGAAGGATAGAATCAGGACAGAGTTGTTGTGAGAAATATAAGTTAAGGTTTTAAAGAGTTTCCCCTCCTGACTTTCAGAAGGAAAATATGGCTTTTACTTGTTTGGCTCACTGGAGGATCTGAAATAGCTTGACCCAAGTACTTCTCTCATGGGAGGGAATAACAGCTTTCAAACAACCTCCACCAAAGGAGTTACTGGGTAAAGGTTTCCATCCCCATTCTGAGCTCCAGTTAACACAGAAGGCAAAATATCATTAGTGGAACCTCATGTGGAAGTGCACACTAGGGCTAGGGACAGACATTACACACAAACTGGTTTAAATGATCAGAAACTGGTTTAAATCTGTAACAGAACAGATGTTCAGTGCACATAAACCAGTTTGAAAATGGCTGAAACCAGTTCAATATAAACCTGGTTGAATGTCGTATCAGACACTACTGATTTGGGTCAAACTGGTTTATGCAATGTCTGTCCCAGACCCCCTCCTGGTTTAAGTTAAACCAGAGTCCCCCAGCAACCCGGCATGCTCTCTGGGCTGGGTGGGGCTCTCTGCTCCAGAGAGCTGGGCTGGCCCCTCCCTTCTGCTTCCTGGCTGCAACTCCGGCAGAGAGACTGCATGTACAGTGGGGACTGCCCGGCTTCCTCCTGTTCCCCCCTTACACCACTCCCTGCTGAAGCGGGATCCCCATCTCTGCCTTACACAGACACCTACTTCTCAGCATTAGCTAGCAGACCACATGCTGGCTACAGTCCATGCTGTGGGAGATGGGACAAATGCACACAGCACAGTGTTGGCTTAAGGCTTTTTGGAGCTAATCAACAGGTTGCTTGTAACATCCTTCCATTCCTTCCTTGGAAAAGGTTGTTTAAGAAGAGCTTGAACTAATGAGAGAGGCTGCTTGTTTTCTTAATGGGCTGATAAACACTGAGTATGGGGTGATAAACACTGTGTTACCAACTCCCTGCTGGGCTGCTGGGGGTGGGGAAGCCCTCCCCATGGGTGACTGGTGCCACCATGTGCCCCCCCAGTCACCAGTCAGCAACTGGGGGGTCCCCCCACACAGCCAGTCTCACCCTGATGGGGGTGGGGGCAGGTCCCCCCTGTGGCCAGTCTTGTCAATGGGGGGGCCTCCCCTTTTGGCCGATCGCGAAGTAGCCGTGGTGCTACTGGAAGTGGTGCTCCCACCCCCTGGCTGGCACTGGAACTCCTGCCTGCCCCCCCGCCTGTCGCCTAAGTGGCA